CCATCACCATCGTCCTCTTCCTCCTCATCCCCCTCCACTTCTCCCTCTCCCTCTCCTCCCTCTCCCTCCCCTTCCCCCTCTCCCTCCTCAGCTTCACCCTCTTCCTCGAAGTCTTCGCCCTCCTCCTCGTCGTCTCCTTCGTCATCGTCGGCGTCATCGCCGATATCGTTTTCCCCACCTACTGGCGCAGTAGTGCTCGACTTGGCAACTGCCAGTCCACTCATGCCAGTGCCGTTGGAGCGGGCCTTTCTAGGCGTCCTTGTTCGCCTGACCGACGAGTTCCGAGGAGCGTGACCCAAAATCGCCTGCAGCCTGGCTAGCTGCAACTGCCAAGTCTGCCGTTGCAACTGCAAGATCTCCATGCGCAGTGTGTGCTCAGCCGACATCTGACGACGAATCTGAGCGTGCAGAAGGTCCAGGCTGGTCAGTCCGTTTGCGGCCAGCACGCTCGACAGGCCGGCGGCGCTAGAAGAAGTACCGCCAATGCCAACTCCGACAGTATCGCCACTCCCAACGCCTCCGGGAGCGCCAGTCTGTCCACCGAGAAGGAGAGCAGTAGTGGAGCCAGGCGCAGCGGCTGCGGCGGCTGCTGCTGCAGCGAATGATGGCAGTGGAAAAAGACTCTCCTCCAGTAGATTAAGTCCTTCCCCGCAGAAGGGACGAAGGCTGGTTGCACAAGAAATTTAAATATGTGTATGCATGCAGGTAGTTTGGGAGGTGTGTAGGAAGGTAGGAAGATATGGAGCAAGGTAGTTTGGTAAGTATACGGGTGGGAAGGTGGATGGACAGTTAAGTAGGTAAATGGATTACAGATAGATAGGTGGGAAGGTATGCATGTATGTAGGTAGGTAAGAAGACAGATGGGTATAAAGGCGGGTAGGTAAATAGGCATATAGACAAGTAGGTAAGTGGGAAGGTGGAACGTATGTAGATAGGTGAGCAGATAGATAAGTAGGTAGGTAAACAGATAGATATGTAAACAGATAGAAAGGTAGAAAGTAGGTAGGTGGGTAGGTAGAAAGAAAGACAGGTAGGTACATAGATAGATAGATAGATAGATAGATAGATAGATAGATAGATAGATAGATAGATAGATAGATAGATAGATAGTCTGACATACAGATATAGATAGATATAAAGATAGATGGATAGATAGATAGATAAATAGATAGATGATAGGTTGGAAGGTAGAAAGTACGTAGGTGAGTAGGAAGGGGGATAGGTAGGCAGGCAGGCAGGTAGAAAGGTGGACAGGTAGATAGGCGTATGGGCAAGTAGGTAAGTAGGTATATCGACAGACATACAGATAGACAAGTATAGATAAATATATAGATAAGTAGGTGTGTAGAGATAGATCGATAGAATGATAGGCAGAGTGATATATATATATATATATATAGAAAGATGGATAGATAGATAGAATATAGGTTTTAAGGTAAAAAGTATGCACGTAGGGAGGAAATACAGGTAGATAAGTGGGCAAATAGATCGACAAGTAGACAGGTGGGAATGTACAAAGTATGAAGATGAGCAGGAAGGAAGATAGGTAGGTAGTCAAGCAGGGAGATATAAAGATGGATATACATATAAACAAATGGGTAAGTGGGAAAATAGAAAGTATGGAGGTAGGTAGATATACAGGTGATATGTAGGAAGGTAGAAAGTATGTAGGTAGGGAGGGAGGAATACAGGTAGGTAAGTAGGCAAATAGATCAACAAGTAGATGGGTGGGAATGTAGGATGTATGCAGGCAGGAAGGAGGGAAGATAGGTAGGTAGGTATGTAGAAAGTAGAGACAGATAAAAAGGTAGAATGGCCGGTAGGTGGACATAGGTGGGCGAGTAAGTAGGTAAATAAATAGACAAGTATATAGGTAGGAAGGTAGGAAGACAAGTAGGTAGTTAGGTAAGTATTAGATAGATGGGTAGGTATTTTGGTGAACACACGCGAGTGGGTTGATAGGTAGTTATTTGTTTTATACGTAGGCTTGTGGGTAGTGGGTGTATGGGTAAGTAGATAGGTAGATGGGTGGTTATGTAGTTAGGTACAGGATACAAGTCTAAAATTAGCTACATAATTGTATAACTTCAAAGTGGCGTATAGTTAAGCTAACTGGAAACATTTTTCTCAAATAAACATATCAGACTACTCTAATAGAGTGTCTTTTTTAAGCGTAAAATTTAGGATGCCAATTTCTAATTTTGTCTCGCTAAAGTTGGATAAACAAGGGTTTTGACGACGCAGAGGCGAATCAAGCGAAACTATGCTTCCCTTCCAGCAGGGTATCGCCCCAATTATCGGCAATCGGGATGTCTGAGTGTGTGTTGATTAGTCACCAACTTGACTAAAATCTAAGCCGGATACAGTTGCCGAGTGGACCCGAGTTGATCATAATTTGACTGACTGGAGGGATATCCCGAATAGTTTCTTCTGATGCATACGCCAATTTCCCACGATCAGATCATTCCTAAAGTACAAGATGGCATAGCCTGATCCTTAGAATAAACAATGAGCAGTTGAATGTAGAGAAAATATACAAGTATAGAGGGGTGAAGCGTGTAAAGCCATGAGAAGAATAAAGTAAACTAAGTCTTAGTTCAAAGATTAGCCAAGCCAAATCTGGATCAGAAACACTGAACTTTTGACATTCTTTAAGTCCGGACGCCGAGATTAACGACCCCTTAGGTAATATCATAAAACCGAAATGGTCACGAGTAAGAATATGAGTATACGATGCTAAAGTTATGATAAGAGGTCATTAGTGCTAAGCGAAATAGGTCCCCCGAAGGTGGTCGCGTGAACGATAAAATTTCTTGTAAGGCTAGAAAAAATCAGACACTCATACTCATACTCACACATACCCCTAGAAAGTGGTCAAAATCGATTTTTTTTGCGCTCGTAACCCTGCTTACTGGCTGAGTGACGTCCCGATGCGACAAATATAGCATCGATTTTGTGAGCAAGGCTTTTACTGAGACAAATTCAAATCCGCTACTCATCTATTCACTCGTTTTTCTCCAGTCGTGCGACAAATGGTGACGGTTACCCAAGTTTCAATAGTCAACTTCGCCTGATCTGAGATCAACTCAGCGCAGTATTTTCACCACTCATGCTTCATTCATACCACGCCAATTGCGCAACACAAGCCCTCAACTGTCCTCACAAGTCTGTCATGAGTCTGCTACCTCCTGCCTGCCCTGTTTCCGTCTAAAGAAACAAACCTGTTCATCTTTTACATCTCAGCTCACATCAACTTTCAATCGTGAACCCATTTCATTCGTAGCTAAGCCACTTATCTTAGTCTGCAGACTCCATCTTTCTTTCAGGCTTCGGGGAGTTCGGAAGCGAGATCTTGCTGCTGGATACGGCAAGTCAGATGCTAGCATATTCACATACACCCATACAAACTGATCGACAAATAAAGGGAGCCATTTGTACTCATTGTAGCTATCAGAGGTATGATATCCCACATGAGTCCTGAATATGCTCCAGTTTCGTGTGGAGTGGAAACGTGTCGCTATGGTATCGAATCCCATTGTGAGAGCTAGGCGAAGATGAGTCAGCAGTCCAGTCAGGCTGAGGAAACTGTATAAGAGACAAGGCTGTCGAGTAGAGTTGCATCGCGAGGCCTATTTGATTTTAGAAAAAAATTCTACCATCAGTACATAAATTAACTAACATCCTAGTCTATAAAAAAAGCTAGTTTTTGAAGGATCCCCTGACAATTTAATCCGACTCCACTCTTACTTTCGAAGGGAAAGTTGGTCGGAAGTGATTCGTAAACTGGCCTCATGGAAAACTTAAGTAGTGTTGGATTATACAGAGAATGCCTCGGTTTACTATCCTGCGACCCCGGTCCATTTTGAGCTGGGCTCTCATCCGTCCAATCGCGACAGACAATGTAGGAGCGAGAAACCATCACTTATGAAAAAACAGGCACAAAATACTTCTCGCTCTGATGACATCTATCGTCGTCTATCGCATGACAGACGAAAGCTCAGCACAGATTCATCAGGTTGGTAGAAAAGTGAGCC